CCCCCCCAAAAAGATGACAATCTGTTCTGTTCTTTCGTCTTTCGTTCCTGCCCCCACCCCCCCTATGCTGGGCTGTCGCCCGGCCTGGCATGCCCGGCCCAGCTGGGCGGAGGGAGTGTCACATGGAGAAACCAGACGGGTCGAAAGAGATGCGGGATCCCAAAAAACAAAAAGACTTCAGGACAGGGCTGCCCTTGGCCTAAGTAGTCAGAATCCGGTCTTAACTTTGATTTCGGTGATGGGTTATCCAGGGGGGTTGGGGGAGTATGAACAGTGGCTAAAGGGGTTTAGAAGGGTACATTTCGACATTTTTTTTTTTTTTTAAATCTTAAAATTAACAAGGAATTTCGAGGTGGCCCTAGCCAAACGTTGTTTGTATTGCAGTTTTACACAACAATTGTTTTTGCGGATTTTTTTTGAAAATTTTGGTTTTTCATTTTTAAAATTTTATGTGCTGGGGCCAGACCCTGCCCGCCTGGGTCGCCCAGGAGGGTATGCTGGTGACCTTCCCCCAGTCAGGGTGCCCGGGGACCAGCACAGTTTTTTTCTCTATTTAGTAGTTTTTCATTTCTTGAAGAAAAACGAAGGTTGGGGAAGAGAGAGCTCTGTAGCTCCAGCCTCCGCATGGCTCGGCATTCCGGTTGGCCGAGGCTCAGAATTGATAGTTGTGTGAGGTACTGGTGGTTTAAGAGAATTAAGAACTGAATGCATGGCAGGAGACACATTTCAAGACCAGTTTCACTTCTGCTTTCAACTCATGAATGTGGCTGGTTCCAGGCCCAGATCCATTTGTGTAAACAAACTCGTGGGATTTGGTGTGCCGTGAGAGGAGACTGTCAGATCAGCAATAATCCTGTTATGTATTGCAGCTGGAGATTACAAAGTGCTTTATATTGTAGACTACGAAGGACAAGCAGTACTCAAGAAAGGTGTGTGTGTGTGTGTGTGTGTTACAAAGTGCTTTATCTTGTAGACTACAAAGGACAAGCAGTACTCAAGAAAGGTGTGTGCGTGTGTGTGTGTGTGTGTGTGTGTGTGTGTGTGTGTGTGTGTGTGTGTGTGTGTGTGTGTGTGCACGCAGGCACGCCATGGCTCAAACACTATGCCAGACAAGCACCAACGTTGAAAAATGTCGGCACACCCTGGTCACTCTCTATGCATGCATAGTGTACCCTACCAACAACGCAGATCGTGCAAACTCGACAGGGCGTGTCCAAAACGTCTAGTGCGCTTAATGGGTACTTGTAGGCATGGGACGGATACGTCCATCTGTGGAAATTGAGAAAAACTATGCCGGAGCATCATTTCCAATAGTACATCACGAACAAACACAGAAGAAGGGGGGAAAGGTACGATAACGAAGCCGAGCGACAGAGACGCAATGCGCTGTTGGATGACGAGGCCCAACGAGGCACATAGACTGAAGGGCACACAGGGAAGCAAGAAACGAAGACAACACATAGGCTGGAGGGCAGGGGGGAGGCCGGAGGGCAGGCAACATACAAGCACATAAGGCAGGGAAATGACAACAACCAGCGGACAAGGTAAGTACCGAAACGAAAAAAAACTGCAAAAGAAAATGACTGATGATGATAGATTGTTTGGTCGGAGTTGCACCGACTCATCAGGAGGCTGAACCCTCGATGCTCTGCGGAGTCCCCGCATTGATGTGATGGTTCAAGTCGTGAACCCTTTGACCCATGCTTGTTGAAGGCAGACCGTCCACACGCAGAACACAGCAGCAGGGCAACAACTCAGCGAAGCACCGGGCAATGCTGCCGGGGCAAACCCACTGCACAACGCCAATTAAGACTGCAAGGAACGCCACGGCAAGCGGATGGCAGCAGGGTAACAGTGCGGTGAAGCACAAGGC